CACACACACACACACACACACACACACACACACAGTTCGAGCTTCAGCTAGCAGGAAATGGTATGTGGCAACATCAGCAAGCAAAAAAAAAATAAAAATCCCCCAGCACTCTTGTGTATGAATGTGTGTTGGCTTCTTTGTTAGGACAAAAGCAAAGGTCAAGATCACTGGTCAGGCAAAAGTTTATGGTGGTTGCAGAAGTTGCTGTGAATGACTCTCAGCTACTGCCACAAAATATTTTAGCTCCGGATATGGCCGACCAAATTAGAGCCATTTTGTGTTATTACAATCCTATTACACACTAACAATCAGTCTAGAAGCCAGAACAAAGAGCACAGAAGCTCAGATTAAAAARCTTTGTGTCTGTTCATAGTAAACTTTCATGAGACGTTCATGTTAAAAGTATCACTTTGGTTAGTGAAGTGAAATACAAAGAACTGAGAAAAGCTKGCCACCAAAATTGGACTTACTTTGATTGGCTCGGTGCTGAARCGGATTTTCCTGCTCGGTGGTACCGGCTCCTCTTCATTAGGGAGGCCGGGGATTTCAGAGCAACTACTCTCCGGTTGATATGGCTCCTCGTCTTCTTCGTCGTCCTCATCGTCCAGCTGGCTCCCCGCAGAGTCCTCCTCCTCCCCAGGCCCGCTGTATGCGCTGACATCCACCAGGTCTCCCTCCGAGTAATCCTCCTTCCTCGAGCCCTCCTCATCATCGTCCTCCTCCTCTTCATCGCCTCTCCATTCGGAGGAAGATAGAGGCTCTTTCTCTCCCGTTTCCAGAGTAGCATGGATCTCAGCCTCCACTAACCTCCCGTCTTTTTCAGATGCACCAGCTGAGACGTCCTGTTCTTTGGCCTGAAACTCCTCCTCGAGGGTCGCAACCGTATCCGACCCTCTGTCTTCAGCCGCTGCTGGTGGGACACCGGACTCCTCAGACGAGGAGAAAGCATTAGTTACTGAGGATGATAAAGAGTTGGACAGCTGGTCACTTGATTGTCCAAAACCATCAGTGTCTTCAACTGTGACCAGTACTTCTGTACTCCTTTGAGTAGAGTCCTCTGCTGCTTGGGTGCTCGTAACTCCTGTTCTCTCTGCCTTGGCCTCTTTACCCAGAGAGGATGCCTTTTTAAGATAAAAAGACCATATTGTTAATTAATTAATTAATTAATCCATATACCTTAAAATGAGTTTCATTTCCTACCTTCCTTTCTGGCTTATTGCCTTTGGCTGGAAGCTTGGGTTTTGGTGCCAAGGCAGGGGCAGACCGACGATGGGGGACGTGTGAATTGCTCTGAAGGTCACCCTTTTCAAACGCAGCACTCAGTTGACTCACAGTGGGACTGACAGCATCTTTGGGGTCAACTGAAGGTGCAGCAGAGGGAATCGTAGCAGGAGTGGGAGCCGGGGGATCATCCAGTCGATCCAGGGCTTCAGTAGACCCATTAAAGCGAGCCACAACGTCTAGTCGGCTGCCCTGGAAACCTGACGCCCGTTCCTTCTTCAACAAGATGCGGTTTGTAGCGGCTTGCTTCTCCTGACAAAGGCAATCTATAAATTTAGGCTGACTGGATGTAATGAAAACCCCACATAATAGCAATCACTTACCTGTAGCGTTCGTTGTTCAAAGATCTTCCTGGTCTCCTGGAGCTTGGACAAACCAATAGACGAGACTCCATCTGTTCCAGTGGTTTTGGTGTCGAAACGGTTGACCCTTTCTGAGACCGTACCCCCGAGTTTCAGCAGGGCGCTGTGGTTGACGTTCTCATTCATGCTAGAAGCCCTTGGAATGGACAGTTTTAGTGGATTCTCCTGACCTGCAAATTAACACAAAAACAATCACAAAAACTGCAATAGACAATAGGAGAATTTGTAAAGAAATTTTAATGGGTGACAATGCAGCTCCTTCCTAAAAGTCTGACTAAAAGTCATGTTGAAAAAACTTCTCTGAACTGTCATAAGCATCTGGTTGACACACAAGTCCATTTATGAGACTACAGTGTTTCCGATGGATTATATAAGTTAAAAAGACAGATTCATTTACAGTTTAAACAAAACTCTGAACTAAGATACAACAGAAGCCAATGAGACTTGTGTCCAATATACTGCCAGAATGGCAGCAGTCTATCAATATTAGAGTAAAACTACAAAACTCAGCAAAGAAGTCCAGCATCTTGCCATTGTTATGTTTACCAAAACCAGCACATTAAAGAATGTTGCATTACATTACATAGTATATAGTATGTTTTATGCCATGTTAGCTCATAAATCATTGAAAATGTGACCTTTTCAGTTTTTCTRTCAAGTCCCAGGTTTATGCTGTCAGAAAACAATACATGAATTAAAAAATATTTCTGCTTAGGTGATAAATCACMTGGCAATGTAATTTTTAAAGCTGCAAGGTTACACCTTCTGGAAACAGTAATTATTTTGAACTATTAGTTTACTCAGTTTCACTTTTTTCAGTCCAGAAGTGACACTGACAGGTTGGCACAGGAAACACTTACAGCTTAGTGTCAACACTAGCCCTATATGCAACAGTTTATGTTGCAGATACAGTTCTGTATGTCTGCAGATAAGTTTGCAGCTAGCATCAGGACTGCCGTCACTCCTGATCACAGTCACCACAGCCACACTCCACAGAGCTGTAAATGAATCTGTTTCTTAGTCCATTTTTATGTTGACAACTTTCGTTTTCGAAACCAAGACGAGCAACCAGATGGAAATCACCAGTGGGGGAGAGCCTGCCAGAGAAGTGACAGACAAGCCATCTAAAATTATTTTATTTACTGACGCAGCCTTTCATCGCACTGTGGGTTTAAGAGTGGTTTACCGTCAAATGTCAATTATATAATCATATGCAGTTATTTATTTATATTATATGTGCAACAAGACATGTATCAAACCTTCAGTACAGTACTTTAGGTTCAATACACAACATGTAATGAACAATACGGATTTTTAAATTTTATTTTATCAGCTTGTCTTATGTCTGTGTTGGAGGCTCAGTGGATCTGTGTTCGACTGCTCGACCTAGGCTGCGTTGTCGAGCACAGATCCACTGAGAAACTTGCTGTTTCAGCAACATTTAATTTGAAAATTGTACTTTTGAGGTTAAATACGTATTCATAATAAATTTCAATAAATTACAAGTTAAGAAGAGCATGGGCATTTCTCTTTTTTGGATCAAAAAAATATAGAACCGTGAAACTATAGTATCTAAATGAACCGAATCGTGAATTTTCTGTATCGTTGCACCCATAATATACACATTACGTATAAATGGACTTACATGTATAACGAAACACACACACAAGTTTGTATTTCCAGTCTTTTCTATAGCCTAACCCTGATCCATTACCATAAACTTAACCACCCCAGTACATAGCTAACCCTAATCCTAGCCTAAACTTAATTCATATCTTAGTTCAACCCAACAATGGAGTTCCACCATATTAGGACCGGTTTTTGGTCCATAAAAGGACCAGTGGTCTGGACAAGGTAGGTGTGTATATGTGTATGTATCCATTATTTGCAATGACATAGTATTACATTAAAAACAGGTCAATTATTAAATCGATTACGCCAATAATTCATTGATTTAATATTGATTTTCCCTTGTTTTCTTCTGTATTGTATTTATACATAATTTGAGCCAATAGATTTATTTTGCTTTGTAAATTGGTTTCTTTATTTTAAAAAGC